TAGCTAGCTAGCTAGGCCTGTACCTAGCTATTTACCTGCCTCCCTAGCTATATATTCAAGTATCTGGCTAGCCAGCTAGCCAGCTAGCTGTTTATATATGTAGCTAGCTAGCTATGCATCCGCCTAGCAATGAAGCTGTCTGTTCACCCAATCAGCTAGCTAGCCAGCTAGCCCACGTCCATCTGGATACCTAGCTATCTGGCCATCTATCTGGCTAGCTAGCTAGCTATCTGGCTAGCTAGATCGCTGGCTAGCTAGCTAGCTAGCTAGCTAGATCGCTGGGCCTTTTGAAGAAATGAGCTGCTGCAGCGGCGGTGCTTCTACGCTTCCGTCGATTGCTGGTAACTCAAGCCCATATATAATCTGCTGCTGCTGCTGCTGTTGCTGCTGTTGCTGCTGTTGCTGCTGCTGCTGCTGCTGCTGCTACTGTTTGCTGCGTGTTTAGCGGCAGACATTGCAGAAAATACTTGTATGGGCAGTCGCTTTGTAAAGCTGCAGTAGCAGCTAGCTGTTCACACATCACCTTGGCTAGCTGCTGCTGCAGCTGCCTCGGTGGCTAGCTGTTGCTGCTGCTGCTGCTGCTGCCTCGAGGGCTAGCTGCTGCAAAACAGCTAGCTTAAAACATACAGGAAGAAAACCACTTTTTCCTGTCCACGCAGGCCAAAACAATTGTCATACTGCGCTGCTGCTGCTGCTGCTGTTGCTGCTGCTGCTGTTGCTGCTGCTGCTGTTGCTGCTGCTGCTTTTGCTGCTGCTGCTGTTGCTGCTGCTGCTGAGCGCAGAACTATTCAAGTGATTTATGAAGCATTCCTGGCGGCTATTCATTTTGCGGCGACCGTCGCTACAGCAACTGCTGCAACTGCAGCTGTTGCTGCTGTTAGTGTAGCAGCTGCTGCAGCAGCAGCTGCTGCTGCTGCTGCAGCAGCTGCTGCTTCTGTTGCAACGGCTGCTAATGACTCAAAAGCGAAGAACGGGAGCAGCTCCTCAGCGGCAGCGTTCCTGCTGCAGTTAAGCCAGGAGCATTTGCTGCTGCTGCTGCTGTTGGTGCAGCTGGCTGGCGCAGCGCCGTGTGCTGCTGCTGCAGCAGCTGGGGCAGCTGCTGCACCTTCTGGGCGGGCATCGCCGCCCTGGAAAAGGCCCCTCGACTGTGCTGCAGCTGCTGCAGCTGCTGCAGCTGCTGCTGCTGCAACTGTTGCTGCTGCAGCTGAAGATACCGCTGCTTCTGTTGCTGCAGCAGCATTTGTTGCTGCTGCGGTGTCTGGCGAAGTTGTGGGGGCTGCTGCTGGAATCCTTGACGCATCGCTTGCTGCTGCAGCTGGATTATCTGCTGCTGCTGTTGCTGCAGCTGTCGCTGCTGCTGTTGCTGCTGCATGCGCGGCTGCTGAAAGAAGTTACGTTGCCACAAGGGCAGCTGGTCCAGTCCCTGAGAGCCTCCTGGCAAGACAGCAGCTGGACTAACAGCAGCAGCAGCAGCAGCAGGACGTGTTTGCTGCTGTTGCTGCTGCAGCTGCTGCGGCTGCTGCTTCAGCTGCTGCAGCTGCTGCAGCTGCTGTCGTTGAGCTGGGTAGCTTTGGCCAAGGTAGTCCTTCAGGCTCTGGGCATTGCGTTGATTCAGTAGGCCCTTGGCTGGCCTCGCCTGCTGCTGCTGCTGCAGCTGTTGCTGCTGCAGCTGTTGCTGTTGCAGCTGCTGCGGCTGGCGAGGGAGGAAGAGAGCTGTTTGCTGCTGGAGTTGCTGCCTTTGCTGCTGCTGGCTATGTGGGCCGTACCCCTGAGCAGGTAGTTGATAAGACCCATCAACTTGCTGCTGCTGCTGCAGCAGCTGCTGCTGCTGCAGCAGCTGCTGCTGCTGCAGCAGCTGCTGCTGCTGCAGCAGCTGCTGCTGTTGCCGCTGCAGCTGTTGCTGTTGTGCTTGGTGCTGCTGCACTGGAATAGCCCTTTTGGGGCTCTGCCCTGTGGGTGTGACTGGCAGCTTCCACAAAGGCTGCGACATCAGTTGCTGCTGCTGCTGCTGCTGCAGCTGCTGCTGCAGCTGTTGCGGCTGCTGGAGGTTTTGCTGCTGCTGCACAGGTTGCAGCAGCTGCTGCTGCTGCAGCAGGAATTCTCTGTCGTCGCCGTTTTCATAGCATTTTCCGATGCCTCTGCTGTTTGTTCTTCGCAGCAAGTGTGCCCCTTGCCGCTGCTGCTGCTGCTGCTGCTGTTGCTGCAGCAGCAATTCGTTTTCATAAGCTTTTGTGGGCGTTGCTGTTGTTGAGAGAACGGACCACTGGTCCTCCGCGGGTCTCCTTTGTTGCTGCGGGTGGTGCTGCATCACCACTTGCTGCTGCAGCTGCAACTTCTGCTGCTGCTGCTGCTGCTGCTGCTGCTGCCGCAGCTGCCGTGCTGCAGCAGAGCGAGGGGTAAACACGTGTGGCTGCGGCAGCAAAGGCAGCCAAGTCCCCCCTGGCAGCAGCGGCACAGCGCTGAGGGCAAGGGGCCCTGTGGGGGTCATAAGCGAAAATGCTGCTGGTGCTGCTGCTGCTGCTGCTGCTGCTGCTGCTGTTGGTGGTGGTGGTGGTGTTGCTGCTGCTGCGGGGGCTGTTGCTGCCGCTGCTGCTGCTGCTGCGTCAAGCCCCTGGTCAGCTTCGCTGCAGTAGCCTGAGCCTGTCTCTGCTCCCCGCTGCCTTCCGTGCTGCTGCTGCTGCTGCTGCTGCTGCTGCTGCTGCTGCTTGCCTTTGCTGGCAGCAATAATCTGTCCCTCTTTGTCTGTGGCAAGGGGGGAGCCCTTCCGGGCCTTTCCTCTTGCTGCTGCAGTTCTGCTGCTGCTGCCGGCCGCCCACAAAGCTCCCTGCAAGAACAAATTCAAAAAGCATTTTTAAATTAAATTTAATATCTCGAATTTAATTTACTTTCTGTAAATTTGCTTTTCGTAATGCCTTCAGCAGCAGCTGGAACAGCAGCAGCAGCAGCAGCAGCAGCAGCAGCAGCAGCAGCAGCAGCGTCTGTTTACCGTTCGTCTCCTGCCTCCGTCTGCAGGGCCTTCCGAGTGCTGCTGCAGGAGATGCAGCAGCGGGTTGCTGCTGCTGCTGCTGCTGCTGTTGGTTCGATCTTGCTGCTGCAGCTGGTCGGAGAGCAGCTGCTGCAGCTGCATGGCGTTGCTGCTCTTGCTTCTGTTTTGCTGCTGCAGCAGCAGCAAATTGTCCTCAGGCTGCCGCAAAGCTGAGACCCACAAAGCCTCCCCAGGGTCACTCAGCCGGGCCCCCCAGGGCCCCGTGCTGCCGTGTCTTCTGTTTTGCTGCTGCTGCTGCTTCTTTTGCTTCTCCAGCGCGTCTCCCCACAACCGTTCAAACACCTGCAGCAGCAGCAGCAGCAGCAGCAGCAGCAGCAGCAGCAGCGATGAAGGCAGCAGCAGCAACATGAGGGGCAAACCGCCACCAGCGAGCGAAAAGGCGACGCCAGCAGTGGCAGCGGACGCAGCAGCAGCAGCAGCAGCAGCAGCAGCAGCAGCAGCAGCAAGTGCTGCTGCTGGAACTCGATTTCTTACGTGAGCACTTTTGCTGCGCTTTGCTGCTGCGGGCTTCGCAGGAGCTGAAGAGAAACTTGAGCGAGTTCGCGCGGGGAGGGGCAGAGGCTGTACGCAGCAGCAGCAGCAGCAGCAGCAGCACGGTTGGCAGCAGCAGCAAGTGACAGCAGCAGCAGCAGCAGCGGAAGCCACGGCTAAAGCAGCGCCGAAGGCAGCAGCAGAACACCCAACACCAGCAGCAGCAGCGCAAGCAGCACCCCCCAAGCAGCAGCAGCAGCAGCAACACGCGCAGCACCCACACACCCAGCAGCAGCAGCAGCAGCAGCAGCAGCAGCAGCAGCAGCAGCAGCAGCAGCACTTACTGCGGGAGCTGAAGACGCCCGCTGCTGCAGCAGGGCCTGCCGGCTCACTAGCCGGCTGGCTGCATGCATTAAAGAAGCAACTGTGGGCTGCAGCAAACGGGCCCCTCCTGTTGCTGCTGCTGCTCTTTTGGCATCGGGGCTGCTGCAGAAGCAGCAAAGGCTGCGGAAGCGCAGCCCGTGGGGACACAGGGGGCCCCTTCTTTCCGTCTCTGCTGCTGCTGCTGCTGCTGCTGCTGCTGCTGCTGCTGTTGGGGTTGCTCTGGGGTCGGGTCTGCTGCTGCGGGTGGTGGCGCCCGTTGGAAACGGCGGACACGCGCTGCTGCTCCTGCTGCTGCTGCTGCTGCTGCAGTGCATGTTGCGGCTGCTGCGGCTGCTGAAGTTGTTGCTGCTGCTGCTGCTTCTGCTGCAGACGCCGCTGGCCCGCGAGCCTGCGCTGCTGCGGCCGGGGGCGGAAGCAGCTTCGCGGTCTCGCCGCCGCCGCTGCTGCTGCTGCTGCTGCTGCTGCTGCTGCTGCTGCTGCTGCTGCTGCTGCTGCTGCTGCTGTGGGTTTGCGCGTCGTTTTCCCTCTTGGAGTATCTGGTGGCTTTGCTGCAGCTTCTTCGCAATTGCAGCACGAGCGGGAGAGGGCATCTCGGCCCAGCTGCTGCTGCTGCTGCTGCTGCTGCTGCTGCTGTTAGGCTTCTGTAGAGAAGGAGGTTTGGCTGAGTCTCTGATGTGCAGCAAGTCTGTTCTGCTGCTGCTGCTGCTGCCGCTCTGCATGCGACTGTCTGCTGCTGTTGTGGCGCTGCAGAGGCTGTCTTGGCGCTGCTCTACTTGGGAAGTTGGCAGCACAGTGCTGTTTCTGCGGCTGTTGCTGGGGCTGCTGCGGCAGTAGCTGCTGCTGCTGCTGCTGCTGCTGCTTCTGCTGCTGCTGCTGCGGCTGGGCAGCATCCTTCCTTTGGCCCACGCTCTCGGCGTGGGGGTGTAGCGCTTCTTGTGCTTCGGCTTTGCTGCAGCCACGCTGCTCCGGGTGCTGCTGCTGGCAGCAGCAGCAGCAGCAGCAGCAAGGGGAGAAGCCACTGGCAGCAGCAGCAGCAGCGAATCTGACTCTGTCTCATCTGCTGAAGGCAAGCTGTCATCTGACAGCAGCAACTCTTCTTCTGTCTCGACACCACCGCAGTGAGACACAGGCCCCGCGGAGGCCTCCATGCTGCCTCTGCTGCTGCTGCTCGTGCTGCTGCTGCTGCTGCTGCTGCGGTTTTTGCTGCTGCTGCTGCTGCGTATGTTTTGAATTAGGGAGTGGCTGGTTGTTCGCAGAAAGGCAGAGGCCCGCAGAGGGAGAGGGCCAGCGAGCTAGAGGGCGCCCAGTGGCGTCCCACCTGCTGCGGCTGCTGCTGCTGCTGCTGCTGCTTCTGCTGCTGCAGGAGGCGCTGATTTTCAAATTAAAAGCTTACTTTATTGAAATAAAAAGTAAAATTAAAGGAAGGCTCTGGCCAGCAGCAGAAGACACGCTCTGCGGCTCCTGCTGTCGGCGGTGCCCCCGCCGCTGTCCGGCTGCAGGCAGCACTGCTGCTGCTGCTGCTGCTGCTGCTGCTCGTGCGGGCCCAATAAATTGAAACAAAGAGATCTAAAAGAACAAACTCTTTAAATTATGTCTTGGAAAAAGAGAAAAGAGAAAAAGAGAGAGACAAACTCGAGCGAAGGCTGAGGCCCGGGCCGCCGAGGCACCAGCAGCAAGCCGCGGCGGGCGTTGGCGGTCTGCTGCTGCTGCTGCTGCTGCTGCTGGTAAAGCAGCAGCGAAAACAGTGAGGAAGTCTAAAGCGTAAAACCAAACATATCCAAATAAATAAATGTTTGATAGCTGAAACTGTGAGCCAAGCCACACGAAGTTGCAGCAGCAGCTGCAGCCGCAGCCGCAGCCGCCGCAGCAACCGCAGCAGCAGCTGCAGCAGCTGCAGCAGTCTCGACTAACCACCGCCGCATTTTGTTTTCTTCTTCTCCTTTGGCCCCCTAAATTGTGTTTGTTTTTTCTTTTAATTTAATTTATTTATTTATTTTCCCAAATTAAAATAAAAACAAAAGAAATCCCCAGACAAACGGACAAGTCCCGTTCGCTTGACTGGTCTGGTACGGCCGCCCACGGTTCGTTGCTGCTGCTGCTGCTGCTGCTGCTGCTGCTGCTGCTGCTGCTGCTGCGGCTCCCCAGCTCCAAAAGCCCGCCATTTTTGTCTTTTGATTCAAAATTTATTAATTTAATTCTTTTAAACTTTATTTTCCACACTTTAAATATTCTTTTTGCATGCACTTGCTGCTGCTGCTGCGCTGCTGCTGCTGCTGCGCTGCTGCTGCAGCAGCGGGCAGCTGCGCCGCCGACTCTGCGTCGAAACGCCGCCGCTGAAAACTTGCTGCAGCAGCAAAGCTTCACATATATTCATCGTACCAACTGCAGCTAGCCACAGCTAGCCACAGCTGGCCACAGCTAGCCACAGCTAGCCACAGCTAGCCACGGCTAGCCACAGCTAGCCACGGCTAGGCTGTGCCAGCCACAGCTAGCTGCAGCCAACCGCAGCTGGATGCAGCTAGCCACAGCTACGCAGCGTTAGCCGCAGCTAACTATGGCTAGCCACAGCTAGCCGCGGTTAGCCGTAGCTAGCCATAGCTAGCCATAGCTAGCTACAACTAGCTACAGCTAGAGATGTGCAAAGGCTGCTGCAGCCAGCCCCAGCTAGCCACGCGTAGTCCCACCTCGGGGAAGCTAACGAGTAGCTGCAGCTCCCAGCATCTAGCCGCAGCTAGCCACAGCTAGCCACAGCTAGCCACAGCTAGCCACAGCTAGCCACAGCTAGCCACAGCTAGCCACAGCTAGCCACAGCCAATAAATGCCTTTGGGGCTGCATGCGCGCATGCAGCTTATCTTTGCTGCGGGGGGCCTCTCAGTGGGCCTAGACAGCCAGGGGGCCCCGGCAAAACCCTAAACCCTCGACGCCAAACCCTAGGCCCTAAACCCTAAACCCTCGGCCCTAAGCGCTAGCCCGTGAACCCTAAACGCTCGGCAGTAAACCCTAAACTGCAAGGCCCAAACCCTAGCGTGTGAACCCTGAACCCTAAACCCTAAAACATTAACCCTAGCCCGAAAACCCTAAACCCTAAACCCCAAACCCTGAAAAGGAAGCATCTGTAAAGTGTCCCTTGGAGTGTACATACACCTCAGTTCAAACAGAGCTGCGTAAATGTGAAAAGAAATAAATATAAACATAAATAAACAATCACATTTATCTGCAAACAAATACAAAAATTTGAATAAATTAATAAATAAAAAAGGATATTTTTGTACAAGTGCATGCGCATGCATTCAACTATTCAAATAAATTTAAATTTATATTTTTAAAAATTAATTTTTGATATTTGAACTCCTAAAGGCTGTACTTGCAGCAGAAAGAAGCATTTAAGAGTTGACAAGTGTAATAAAGCTGTTTCACACAAACATAATATATATTATATATATAATAAACCTTTATTACACTTATGTATACAGAATATATATACATATATATTATATAAATAATAAACCTTTATTACACTTATCAGCTCCTAAATATATTTATATATATATACATATATATCACTATACATATATAATATATATTTATGTATTGTATGTAGTACACACAAAATGCACCTTGCATCCATATATCTATATTATATATTCAATGTACCATTTTATATTATATATATATAAATATATATATATATATATATATAAATATATATATATATACATATATTGTATACGTATATATATAATATATATGTCTTCATATTATATATGCAATGTACAATTTTACATTATGTATATATATATTATATAAGAATATATATAATATATATACATCTCTAATATGTATGCAGTTTAGAATTTTATATTCTATATATATATTTATGCGTACATATATATATATTATATATGTACATATAATATACATATAAACCTATGTTATATATGCAATGTATAATTTTATATTACATATATTTAAAGATATATTATATACGTTTTTTTTATGTATATACCTATATAATATATAGAATGCATACTTTTGTATTATTCCTGTGTTTATATATATACATAGTATATATGCATAGACATAATATATATATATTTATATATCTATATTATATGTATAACGTTTAACTTTATACTGTACACGTATTTATATTTGTATATTATATAAGGTATATACATAATATATATATATATATACATAAGATGTATTGTACAGTATGTATACTTCACCTATATATATATATATTATGTGTGATATATATTATATATATGTGTAATATATATTATATATGTTTTATAAATACTTTATACACATTTGGGTGTCCATTAAAGTATTTATTTGAATAATTTTGAAGCCACTTGCAGGTACAAATATAAATACCAATATAAGTATAAATATAAGTATAAATATAAGTATAAATATAAGTATAAATATAAGTATAAATATAAGTATAAATATAAATATAAATATAAATATAAATATAAATATAAATATAAATATAAATATAAATATAAATATAAATATAAATATAAATATAACTATCAATGTGGGTAAAGTATTAATGTAAATATATCTATAAGTATAACTAGAAGTACAAACACAACTGTAGCATTTGTAGACAGTATAAACACACAGCAGCTGCCATTGCTGCTGCAGTTGCTGCTGCAGTTGCTGCTGCAGTTGCTGCTGCAGTTGCTGCTGCAGTTGCTGCTGCAGTTGCTGCTGCAGTCGCTGCTGCAGTTGCTGCTGCATGCAAGGGTACGTTTCTAGGCGAGGTCCTAATGCAGAGCATATGAAGAGCTGCGCGGAGGGGGAAGCAAAGGAATAGATATCCCTGCAGCAGCAGCAAAAAGCGGCTGCAGCAGCTCATGATAAACAGCAAAGAACTTCTGCAGTTGCAGCGGACTATGTATTTGGGGTGTACAGACAGCAGCAGCAGCAGCAGCAGCAGATAGAAAATGTAGACGAGCACGTTGCACTTCGTTTCAAGTTTCAGTTAATTCATTTTCAGATTAAATTAAATTCTTTTTTAATTTGTGTTTAAAAAGATTTGTCCAAAGTCAACGCGGCTTCTTGTTCTGCTGCTAACGGCCTCTGGCTTCATGCTGTGCTGCTGCTGCTCTGGGGGTTCGTACTTTGCTGCTGCTGTCATTTCTGAATTACTGCTGCTATTCCTTGCAACTAAATTGGATTATCATTCATTTAAATTAAATTAAACTTGATTTAATTGAATTAAATGATATATTTTTCATTTTATGATTTTCTTTCTTCGCGGCTGAATGGTTGCAGAATTAGAAACCGGGCAGCCGCCGCCACCGGGTGTCTGTACACCTCAAGAAACAGCCTGACTGCTGTAAGACCCCCAACGCAAAGGATTCTTCATTTGTTTTTATTAATTGAATAAATATTTGTAACAAACTAATTTTTAGTTACTGCTGCAGTGTGAGGCAGCAGGCTGAGGCTGCTGTTGCTGCTCTTGCTGCAGCTGCTGCTGCTCATCCGCATGCAGCAGTAGCGCCTGGCTGCAGCAGCAGCAGCCCCAGACCACTAGACGGTCTCGCAGCACCTGCAGCAGTACCAAACCCATAGTTGCTGCAGCAAGTCTGCTGCAGCAGAAAAACAAGAGGCAGCAGCAACAGCAACAGCAGCAACAGCAGCAGCAGCGGCAGCTGCAGCGGCAGACCACCGCTGTCGCCGCATGCATACAGGATAATGGAGCCAGGAGCGGCCGAGTTGCTGCAGCAGCAGCTCCAGGGGCTTCTAGAGCAGCAGCAGAGGCTGCAACAGCAGCAGCAGCAGCAGCAACAGCAGCTTGAGGCGGGGATTCCAGACCGAGACGCCTTGACTGCGGCTGCTGCTGCTGCAGCAGAAGCAGTGGCGGCCTCAAACCCAGCAGCAGCAGCAGCAACAGCAGCAGCAGCCGCAGCATTACTGAAGGAAGATGCAGCAAAAGCAGCAGGGAGCGGCGCAGCAGCTGCTTCTGCGTCTACCACAGCTTCTGCTGCTGCTGCTGCTTCTTCTGCTGCTGCAGACACAAGCGACACGGCAAGCTGCAACAGCCTGCTGCAGCAGGATGAGGCAGCAGCTGGCAAGCAGCAGCAGCAGCAGCAGGTGAACGCGTCAGTTGCTGCGCTGCTGGCCCTTAGG